GCCGCCGCGTCCGCCAGCATGCCCGGCGTGGCCCGCCTGCCGCTGCCGCTGCTGCTCTGGCTGCTGCTGCTGCTGCTCCCGCGCCCGGGCCGGCCGCTGGACTTGGCCGACTACACCTATGACCTGGGAGAGGAGGACGAGTCGGAGCCCCTCAACTACAAAGACCCCTGCAAGGCGGGTAAGCACCCCCACCACCCCCACCGGCCGGCCCGGGTGCGAGGGGCTGGGGCGCGGGCAGGCCCGGCCGGGAGGCGCGGGCTGGGTTTAGGGTTTGGGCTTGGGGGAGGACAGTCCAGTGTGGGAAGCCGGGAGCTGCCTGGTTGGCAATGCAGTGGGGAACAAAAGAACGAGGGAGAGAGGGAGGGGGAAGTTTGGGGCACTTTTGAGACTGAAGTTTTGCTGCTGTTTGTGGAAGCCGCTGCCGCTGCCTCTTGTCTCCGGAGAGAATTCCTGGAGAAATTTCCCTGGGTCCCTGAGAGAAACCAGCGGGGCAAAGAGGTTTTTCCCCCTAGAGGAAACTTTTCTGGCCAAACTCCGGAGAGAGAGTGTCTGTGTGTGCACTTTTTCCTTCTCTCTCATCTCCTACTCCAGAACATTGGTGTTTTACAGTCCTGTCTGTTCGTCTTGACTGCCCTGGGGCTGCACATCTGTCTAGCCTGGTGTGGGGAGGCCTGCGCATCCAAGGAGCCGTCTCTGGAGGCCCCCAGCCTAGCCCAAGTGGAAGAAGAAAGTTTTTCACGTGATCCCCTGAGACAGTGCTCCTTGGGTATCCCATAGTCCCTGACTGGCAGCAGCAGCTTTCTGGGATCCAGGAGGCAGCTGTCAAAGTCAGAGAAGCCAGCCCAGAAGAGGCTTATCTTTTCCCCTATGTGCCAGGAGGCCCTTACCAAGGCGAAGTTGAGGTGGAAAAGGAGGAAAAACACAAAGACAACTCAGATACTCTGTATCAGTTCTCTCACCCCATAGACACCAGAGGCTAATTAGCCTAGGTCAGAGCCCCTGGAGTGTGTGTTTGTGTCTATGTGTGTGTGTTCTTTGTCCGTGAAGACCTTGTGTAACCCCCTGTAGTGACCAGATGGCCAGGCATTTGGGCCATTTGCCTGACCGAATGACCCTGAGCAGGCTGCCTGGGACAAGAGCACACAGAGGGCACAAGATAGCAGAACTTTTTCTCCACTTCCTGCCTCTGACTTCAGGCTCCAAATAGCCAGAGCCACGGTCTGTGGTACAGTTTCTAGAATGGAGTGCCTGACCCTGGGGACCCTGTTCAAGGACTCTCCTTTCCTTCACTCCCTCTTTGGGTGAATGGATAATAGCAAACTGCAGGAATAGGAGACCCTTCACAGTGGGAGGGGGACAAGCCAAGCCCCTCATCCTTTCCTTCTGCACCTCCCCCCTGGGCTATGGGTAAACCAGGATGTTAGCCATCATCTTTCTCGCTGGGTGCCTGGGGTGGACACGAGGCTAAGTAGACAGAGCATGAGCGTTATATGCAGGCCACCTAGTTTCAATCCTGGATCCTACTCATTAGCTGTACCACCTTAGGAATGTTAATTATCATCTGTAAACTTTGGTTTTCTCACCTGTAAAACAGATCTGATAACACATAGAGTGGTTGTAAGGATTAAATAGGAGGACATATAAAAACACTTATTAGTGCTTAACACACAGTAAGTACTAAATAAATGTTGGCTGCCTACCCTCTGTTTTCTGTGTCTCGCCTCAGACCCTCACTTTATTTGTTTGTTTTTGAGGTTTTCAGGAACAGGTTATGACGCCCTGGCTCTGTCTTTGTGTCACTTATTTATCCAATTAATCTACATTTACCAAATGCCTAATATGTGCCAGGGACTTTACTTGATGCTGTGAGTGATACAGAGAAGTATAAAACATGGCTCCTGCCCTCATGGAGCTTATAGTTTAGTAGGGGGACAAGACACATACAGGCAGAACCAACGGCATAAACCAGTGTGTGTTAAGTACCAAATTAGAGGGAAAGACCTTAAAGGCTAAAGGAGCTCCTTGCCCCCTCGGCAGCCCTGGATGGTGGTGTGGCAGAGAAAAAGTCAGCATAGTAGGCTGGGGAGGTTTGGGGAGTCTTCATGGAGGAGGCGGGGCTGGCACAAGGCCTTAAAGAATGGGTAGGAAGCCAATCTGATGTATTTCACTTCTAGATTGAAATTGGAGTGATTTTCGGAGCAGTGAAAGTTTGAGGGCTCTATCCCCAGTCTCAGATTTCATGCTAGGGTGGAGCTGGCTGAGTTGGAACTTCAAACAGCAGTTCTGGAGAAAGCTTTCCACAAGGGTGAAGTGAGGCTGGTGAGGAGCTGGGCCAGGCATGAGGGTGGCTCTAGGGCCCTAGTGCCTGACAAGACCAAGCTTCAGGGTCAGGCCAGGCCTCCCTCCTGCACATGATTGATGCTCAAGACCCATTGCCCACGTCTGGAGGGAACTCAGGCATGCATGTATTCCCAGGCTCTCACCCACATGCACCTCTGCTGAGCTTTGCCTTCCTCCACCTTGACTCCTTAAGACCCCACACTGTTGCCCTCAAGCCAAAGGTCCACAGGCTTTCTTCTGAGTTTGTGTTGTCTTCTCCTGCTTGCCTTTGCTTCTTGCCCCTTCTGCAGACCTGCTCTCCAGATGTTGGATATATGGGTGACAGTGCCTGGCTCTACTTCCTTTGGATGCCTGCTGCCCTGCTTACTTGCCCCTCTCCAGCTTTCTCCTCTGCCTCTACCCAGACCAAGGACCAGGAATGAAAACCCCATTGACTACCTGGCTTACCTGGAATCTCTCAGTTTGCTCTGATGATAGCCCCTTCATTTGAAGTCGCCTCTTGCTATGACTATTAGAGTTTGGTTACTGTTGCAGTAAGGGCAAAATGAAGACCCTTGAGACCCTGGGGAGGTCCCTGGATTTTCTCAGCCAAGAACAGAATAATAGGCAGGAAGCCAAGCAGGTCTGTGTGTTCAGAGTTGATTCCACCAAGCCCTCTCTTTCTTGCCCTTGCCCTGTTGATTTCAAGTAAGCCCTGATTTCTTGTCCATTGGGATGCTAAACCTTTGAGGGTCTCCTTCCCTAGGACCCCATTGTTTGGCCAGCCCAGCTGCTTTGATGCAGAAACTGACTTGCCAGTTATCTCAGGGCTCTAGGAGAGACTGTGGAGGCAGGAACTGGGACACCGTTGATCCCAGAGCAGAGAAGCCCATGTGGGCTGATCCTGAGCCACCAGTGAGGACCTTGCTTCCATCTCTACCTCAGCTGACAGCTCAGAGGCCTGCAGGGTGTGAGGTGGAGCAGTAGCTCCCCATCCCTCCTCACCATCCTCACCCCAGGGGCTTCGGGGCTCAGGTTTGGACTTTAGGAGCCCTGGAGGTTGAGAAACGATCCCTTCTCTCATCCCTTCTCTCGCCAGACCACATTCCCCCTCCAGACACACTGGATGAGTCATCCCACCCACCTATGCCCCTGCTGAGTCACCTTCTCTTTTAGGTGCCCCAGGGGAGGAGGAGAAGACTTAAAATCTCCTTGGGCTCCAGATGGAGGGAGACCAATGAGACCCCCCAGGAAGAAGGCACTCTACGAATTCTAGTTTCTTCAGAATATCACTCCTCAGGCCACTAAGGACCTCCTAAGTGATATCAGGAGGGCTTGGGCAATCTCTCTGTCTCTCTAGCCCCTGCCCATTCTAAGGGCATCCTT